TGTCCATATCCACCGCCTGCCGAGGCTCCGAAAACTGACCTTCCAGGCGGTGGCCATGTATAAACTCCCGCCTCGGCTCCCAGGCGGTGGCCATGTATAAACTTCCGCCTCGGAGGTCTTTCCTCCCTGGAGAGTGGACAGCACGCCCTCATACCTCGAGGGGGTGCCGACCCGCGCCCTCGCGGTTTTTGCGGGGGCGTGGCACGAGGATGGGCGCGGGCTGTCGGGCCCCGAGGCAGGGGCTCCAATGAGGGGCTGCAATGAGGGGGCAACGATAGCAGGGGATCGGCGATAGGCCTCCGATAGTGAATCCGCACCTTCCTGAGCAGGTTGGGGCTATCGGGCCCCCGTCGGCGATCAATGGGCGATTGGGTGTCGATGCATCCCCCCCTATGCCTATCTCCCCCTATCGTTGCCCCTGATCCAAGGCGAGCTGGGGCCGGCATCCGACATCACACACACACACACACATTCACACACACACACACACACACACACGCACGCACGCACGCACGCACGCACACAAACGCACACACACACACACACACACACACACACACACACGCACACACACACACACACACACACACACGCACACACACACACACACACACACCGTAGCCCCCCCCCAGAATTCCACCCCGGGCATTCTGGGGGTTGTGCAGGGGGGGGGCCAGCAGGCCGCTCGCGCGCGACGCCCCGCGGCGCGCGACGCGCAGCTCCCTACGGGCCGCCCTCGCGCCGCCGCCCCGGAGAAGGGCGCCTCTCCAACGTGCCCTCAGCCCAGGCCTGCGATGCGCGCAGCGCGATGACTTTCGGGCCCCCTCGGGTGACCTGCGGCAGGTTCGTGCCGTGGCGGCCCTGGCGCTGGTGTCTGACACTTGGCGGCGAGCGAAGGGGGGAAGTGAGAAAGAAAAGGCCTTCTCAGAAGGCTCGGAAGTCCCCCGGCCTTCTGAAAAGTTTCCTGAGCCCTCCCCAAGGCAGAAAAAACCTTGTCAGAAGGCGCGAGGGTTTCTGAGAAGTCACGCCGCCTTCTGAGAAGGCCTTCTCCTTTTCGTTTCCCACCCCCGCTCGCCGCCGAGACCTTGAACGATCGGCGGTTCTTCGATCGCCCGATCGTTCCATACTGGTCGCCGTCTTCGAGGGCGCAGACGACGACGAAGACGACGACGGCGTCCCCCTGACCGAGGAGAAGAAGCAGGAGAGGGCTCTGAGGGCCACGAGGGAGGCTGCCACTGGCGCCTTCGGTGGAGCTCCTATGGGGCCACGATCCTCGTGAGGGGTGTGCCGAAATGGCCCGAGGCTGCCATGCAAACCCTGCCACTGGGGCCTTCGGTCGAGCTCCCCTATGGGGCCACGATCCTCGTGAGGGGTGTGCCGAAGTCGGCCCGAGGCCGCCATGCGAACCCTGCCGCCGGCGCCTGCTGTGGAGCTCCCTATGGGGCCACCGAATGTGCGGGGGGGGTGCAGAAATGGGGCGGCACCGATATGCGGAACCTGCCGCTGCGGCCTTCGGTGGTGCCGCCTCAGACCACGAAACGTGCAAGGGGTGTGCCGAAATGGGGTGTGGAACCGCATGCGAACGCGGCCACTGGGGCCTTCGGTGGAGCCCCCTGTGGGGCCACGAAACGTGTGAGGGGTGTGCCGGAATAGGGGTTGGAACCGCATGCGAACGCGGCCACTGGGGCCTTCGGTGGAGCTCCCTGTGGGGCCACGAAACGTGTGAGGGGTGTGCCGGAATAGGGGGTGGAACCGCATGCGAACGCAGCCACTGGGGCCTTCGGTGGAGCTCCCTGTGGGGCCACGAAACGTGTGAAGAGTGTGCCGAAAAAAGGGGTGGAACCGCATGCGCCGCAAAAGCGAACGCAGCCACTGGGGCTTTCGGTGGAGCTCCCTATGGGGCCACGAAACGAATGAGTGGTGTGCCAAAATGAGTGATGATGATGGGAGGAGGGGAGGAGGGGGGGGAGGAGGAGGGAGGAGTGACCGCGGGGCGCTGTCTCTTCAAAACGAGGACCCAACACCACAGGATGGTTGGGGAATAATCGAAAAAGTGTCCCCAATTTCTTTGTTTATTAAGCAGGCAGCTGTTGGAGGAAAAATGAAAAATACTCGTGGCAAAAGATAGCCTGGCGAAGGACCCAACCATACGCAGTTGTGAATACCGCAAGTGTGAATATGTTATTCGGTGGCGCTCCCTATGAGGTCACGTATCGTATGAGGGGTGTGCCGAATTATGTGATAGGGTACATAACACGATTGAAAACGATAGGTCTGAGTATGAAGGCTTGAGCGCGGGCGAGTCTAAGCGCGAGTGAGTCTGATTCTGAATGAATACGCGTGCGATTGATTCTATTTGCATGACTGCGAGCATGGAGTCGCCGAATGTAAATGCATACGGCTGTGAATGGTTGGGGTCTGCCTGACTCTGAGAACTCGCGACACTGAGCGTAGCCTCCGCAAGGAGTTTTCCTGGGAACCCCGACGGCAGCGCCCGCGCGCCGCGACGCCCATGTCGGCATGCCCCACGAGGATCGCGCCCGCTTCCTCCCCTTCTTTTCCTTCCTCTTTGCCCGCGAACTCCAAAGTTCAAGGCTGCGGGCGCCGCGCTACGTGGAGCCCCCGCGACGTGCGCAGGTCGGACGTCGACGACGGAGGACGACGACGAAATCGGCCCTAGGGCCTAGGGAAGCTGTCGGGACCACCAGCTCCCTGTGGGGCCACGAAACGTGTGAGGGGTGTGCCGAATTGGGTGTGCGGGACGCATGCGGGCGGCGGCGCTGGGGCCTTCGGTGCAGCTCCCTATGGGGCCACGAAACGTGAGGGGTGCGCCGAATTGGGTGTGCGGGACGCATGCGGCCGGCGGCACTGGGGCCTTCGGTGGCCGAATTGGGCGTGCGGGACGCATGCGGGCGGCGGCACTGGGGCCTTCGGTGGAGCTCCCTCTGGGGCCACGAACGTGTGAGGGGTGTGCCGAATTGGGTGTGCGGGACGCATGCGGCCGGCGGCACTGGGGCCTTCGGTGGAGCTCCCTATGGGGCCGCGAAACGTTTGAGGGGTGTGCGGGACGCATGCGGCCGGCGGCACTGGGGCCTTCGGTGGAGCTCCCTATGGGGCCACGTAACGTGTGAGGGGTGTGCCGAATTGGGTGTGAAGGTGTGCCGAATTGGGTGTGCGGGACGCATGCGGCCGGCGGCACTGGGGCCTTCGGTGGAGCTCCCTATGGGGCCGCGAAACGTGTGAGGGGTGTGCGGGACGCATGCGGCCGGCGGCACTGGGGCCTTCGGTGGAGCTCGCTATGGGGCCACGATACGTGTGAGGGGTGTGCCGAAGCTGATGACGATAATGGTTTCGATGATGGCGATGATGATGGTGATGAGGATGATAGTGACGATGATGATGGTGCTGACGATGATGAGGACGACGACGATCACGGTGACGATGATGATGATGATGATGATGATGATGATGATGATGATGATGATGATGACGATGGCGATGACGATGACGATGATGATGATGATGATGATGATGATGATGATGAGGATGAGGATGAAGATGAGGATGAGGATGAGGATGGGGATGACGATGACGATGATGATGATGATGATGATGATGATGATGATGATGATGGTGATGATGACGATGGTGATAATGGTGGGAGGGAGGAGGGGGAGGAGGAGAGGAGTGAGGACGCGGGGCGCTGTCTCTTCAAAACGAGGACCCAACACCACAGGATGGTTGGGAATGAACGACAAATCGTCCCCAGGCTATGTTTGACTATGGTTTGGCTATGGCAACTTTTGACTATAAATAACCAAACAATCAAAAAAACAACAAATCGTCCCCGGGAAAACCAACAAAAAAACATAATTTTAAAACCAAAAAACTGTAGGACAACTGTAGCGCTATCCGGCGGAGCGCAGAATAAGGAACGAGAGGGGGCCTCTCTGGCCACGGCGGGCCCGGGCCACGGACGGGCTCCGCGGCATAGTTCGAAGGAGCGGCCCGAGAAGGTGGGCCTATTTCCCACCACCACCACCACCACCACCACCACCACCACCAGAATTAGGAGGGGGAGGGGGTCCTCCTCCGTCTCCTCCTCCTCCTCCTCCTCCTCCTCCTCCTCCTCCTCCTCCTCCTCCTCCTCCTCCTCCTCCTCCTCTTCGTCCTCCTCCTCATCCTCAACCTCCTTCCCCCCTCCAACTTGTGGTGGTGGTGGTGGAAAACAGGCCCATGAGAAAACTCGGGCCCCTCTGGAGCAGGCGCCGATGGAGGATGGGACCCGATGGCTCGATAGGAATGTGGAGGGCCAGGAGGCTGCAAAGGAGGAGGGGGAGGCCGATGAGGAGGACGAGGGGGAGGAGGAGGAGGAGGAGGAGGAGGAGGAGGAGGAGGAGGAGGAGGAGGAGGACGCTGCTGTCCGACGGGGCGTTGCAGCGGGGAGTCCCCGTAGCCCAACCTGTTTCATGTTTCTTTGGACGCCCAACTGGGTACGATGCTCAACAACAAATGTTGTCCCAAACCGACAGTGGCCGCTGTTGGGCAGGCGGCCTCCTGTCTCAAACGGGCGGACAGGCATTCCTGTTCGGGATGAACAGGAACTGCTGTTGGGCATCGCACCCGTTCCTTCCGTACCCCTTCTGTTCGAGACCCGAAATTCAGCGTCTTGGCTGATCTGGGACAGGTGGACGTCCTTCTCGATGAACGCACCCGTTGAGCATAGCACGAAACGGATGCTCTGACAGACAGACATGATATGCCGAGACGGCAGGTCGCACAGAAGCAATGCACACCACGCCACCATACCACACCAAAGCGCCGCACATCACGCCGCCACACCACACCAGAAGCCCAGCACACCACACCGCCACACCATGACGGAAGCGTAGCACACCACGCCACCACGCCATACCGGGAGCGCCTTGGCTGCAGGCTCAAGACTCAAGACCTCTCCGCTCCCTCGACGGCGCGGGCGGCCGCGCCGCGCGGCGGCGGGCCTTCGCGGCCTGCGACGGGCGCCTCGGCGGCGGCGGCGGCTGGCCTCGGCGGCTGCCCCGCGGGGCGGGCCCTCTCGGAGAGGCGCGCGGGCGGCCCGGCCCGCGGGAGGCCCGTGGGAGGCCCATCGGGGGGCGCGCACGTCGCCGCCGCAGTCGTCGCCGGAGGCTGCCCTCGTCGAGTGCTTCGTCCTCGAGTGTCGTTGTCGTCGGCGGAGGTCGTCGCCGAGTGCCGTCGTGGGGTGCCGTCGTCGAGTGCTGCCACGGAGAGGGGTCGTCGAAGGTCGGCCTCTGGGGGGCGCCGGAGATCTCCGCCTCCACCTCCAGCTCCCGCCCCCTCCCTTCCCTTCCAGACTCTCTCCATGCCTCACCTTACCTTCTCTCCGTCCCCTTCCGCTTCTCCTGGCACCCGGGGTCCGACAACTGGCCCTGGAGGCCGAACTCGAAGGAAAACAATTGAGCAAAAAAAATCGTCGGAGATTTGGGGCCGACGGCGGCGGCGACGACAGCGGCGGCGACGACGACGGCGGCGGCGGCGACGACGCCATCGCTCGTCACAGGACCGCCCGCCCACGGGGCCGCCAGCGCGCCCGCGGCGGCGGCCCGAGAGCCGGGCCACCGCAGGGCAGGAAGACGCGCTGGGGCCGGTCCTGCCCACGGAGGGGGGGAGGAGGGAGGGGGGGGAGGGAGGGGGAGGAGGGAGGGGAGGAGTGAGGGGAGGAGGGAGGGGAGGAGTGAGGGGAGGGAGGGGCGAGGAGAAAGGAAGGAGGAAAGTGGTAGGCCTTCGTGTTGCGCACAGGCAGCCCCCCCCAGCAGGTAGTCCTGGCGCCAGCGAGTGGGTCCAGCTGGCCTCAACGGGCTCCCGCAGTAGCTCGGCCCGGCCCCAACACCCCAACCCTGTGGCGCGAAGCGCCCCAGAGGCTCCGCCAGAGGCGGCGTTGAGAGCGACAGCTCCTCCAAGGAGAGGTGCCGATTGCTCCGTGTGTCTCGTGCTTTTTCGGTCGCGGACCCGGCGACCCAGCGAGCGCGCAGGCCAGTCGGGCAGCCCAGGGGCACTGAACGGCGAATTTAGTACATCAAGAGACTCGAACTATCATGTGCCTTACACACCATACCACCAATCAGTGGTAGGGCCATGGATAAGCGCAACTGCCTCGCGGCAGGTATCACCATTGCGTGCACGGTGTTGTTGACTTCTCTTCTGTTTGTCAATTGAAGTCCCCCCATTGCCTGGTGACCATGTGTTTTTCAGTCGAAGTGCCCCCCTCGGGGCTCGCACCCTGATGTCTATCAGGTAAGATCTTGAGTCACGAACCTGGGCCCCTGGCCCCCGAGTTACAACACCAACGGTTCCCGCCTGATGCTTCCTCACAATGTGTTTCTAAATCGCGCTCTCGCGCGCGACTTCCTCACAATGTATGCAGGAATCGCGCTCTCGCGTGGGACATCCTCACAATGTATTCCGGCGCCGTACCCCCAACACGCATGGATCACGCTCTCGCCTTGGGATCGCGCTCTCGCACTTTGGAAATCGCGCAATCGCTAAGGACTGCCTTGCGAATCATGCAGCGTTCACGCTTCAGCAACCCGCCTGCTCGACCTGGCCGCCTGGGCCCGCTTTCCCGACCCGCCCGTTAAGGTCCACCCGCCCGATCAGCCCGTCTGGTTCTGCCACGCGCTGTCTGCTCCTAGCCCCCCTTTTGCTAACTTCTCTCATGTTCCATCCTTCTCCATCTCCCTTCCATCCATCCTCTCCTCCCTTGCTCTAGGGGCTGCACCAACTGCGCGCGGTTGGTCATCAAATACCCCCAAGGGGGCACGATCGAAGACGAAGGCGGGTTCCGAGGGTTTGGGATGGACGTGTCGAATAACACGCGAGCAAGTAAGAGAGAACAGTCTCAAATGATTGATGGTGGTGGTGTCGAATTCTTATTCATATAGAAGAACTATTGTTGATCCCCCCGGTGACCACTGCATGTTGCTTAAAAGTGTTCCTCCCCGCGCTCGCACCTTATTTTCCCAAACTGCGCCCCTGGCCCCCCGTCTACAACAACAGCGGCTCCCGCTTGATACTTCCTCACAGTGTATTTCACATGCGCGTTCTCGCGCGGCACCGCATACTGTATCCAGGAGTCGCGCTCTCGCGTGGCACTTCCTCACAATCTATTGCGGCGCCGTGCCCCCAAAACTCAAAAACCACGCTCTCGATTTGGATGCTTCAACGACTTACTTGGGAATCGCGCTATCGCTCGAGACTTCCTTCATGATGGGTTGACGCTTTAGCGCCCCGCCCGCTCGACCTGGACGTCTGGGCCCGCCCGCCCGACCCGTTAGGGCCCGCCCGCCCGACACGCCAAGCTGGTTCTGCCGCTTGCGTTGCTGCTCCTACCCCTCCTCCTGCGAATCTATCTCGTGCTCTATCCTTCTCCCTCCCCCTTGTCTCTTCACTCCTCCCACTCTTCCTCTGTTTTAGGAGCTGCGCCAACTACACGCGACATGAAGA